ACAAGGGCAGGGAGGGATGGGAGCAGGGGGAAGGGTTTCCAGCTGGCAGAGGGAGCTGGAGCTGAGATGGGAGGGAGAAATTCTGGGCTGTGAGGGTGGGGAGCCCCTGGCCCAGGTTGCCCAGGGAAGCTGTGGCTGCCCCATCCCTGGGGGTGTTGAAGGGCAGGTTGGATGGGGCTTGGAGCAGCCTGGGCTGCTGGGAGGTGTCCCTGCCCATGCAGGGGGGCACTGGGTGGGCTCTGAGGTCCCTCCAACTCGAACCAGGCTTACAATCTGTGATTCCATGGCCCTGCACCCAGGATGGGCACAGGGCTCCTGTGGATTTCCGAGCACCGGAGCAGGTTGTGCCCAGGCTGGGGAAGAGTCTCCTCAGCTCCCTGCTGCTTTGTCCCAGCCTGGTGACATAAAACAGGCAGGAGCACCAGGGGCTGCTTTTCTGGGAGAAGTGACAGTCCCAGGAGCAGCAGCTCCAGCCCTGGGGCAGCAGATGAGACCCCCGGGTGGGCACAGAGGAACGAGACCCCCGGGCCCAGCCCCTGGGGAGTTCCTGGGCTGGGGATCCCTTGATCCGCCGCCGTTTAACCCGTCCAGGAGCAGGAACTTCCATTTGCTGGGAGGTCTCAGGTTTCCCCCCCTTGCAGACCCCCCCCCCAGCAGCAGCTCCCCCAGGGGGGGGTTGTCCCTCCCAGCCGGCGTTTCACACCTTTGCACTGAGCTACCAGCAGCTTCTGAAACCCCAACCAGCATCACCTCCTTCCCCAGGCTGGGCAGTCACCATGTGTGCTCTGGAAACCCAGGCTCCCGGAGGCATCTGCTTTCGTTTAGCTCCTCTAATGATCCTGCTTTTCTCCAGCACCTCCCAGCCCAGCACAACCTCCGGCGCTGCCCGTCCCGGGGGGACACACGGACCTGGGGGGACGTGGTGCCTGGGGGACCTGCCTTGGAACTGGAGCGGGTACAGTTGGGTTTGTGGCTGGTAGAGTTGGGTTTCTGGTTGGTAGAGTTGGGTTTCTGGCTGGTAGAGTTGGGTTTGTGGCTGGTAGAGTTGGGTTTCTGGTTGGTAGAGTTGGGTTTCTGGCTGGTAGAGTTGGGTTTGTGGCTGGTAGAGTTGGGTTTCTGGTTGGTAGAGTTGGGTTTCTGGCTGGTAGAGTTGGGTTTGTGGCTGGTAGAGTTGGGTTTCTGGTTGGTAGAGTTGGGTTTCTGGCTGGTAGAGTTGGGTTTGTGGCTGGTAGAGTTGGGTTTCTGGTTGGTAGAGTTGGGTTTCTGGCTGGTAGAGTTGGGTTTGTGGCTGGTAGAGTTGGGTTTCTGGTTGGTAGAGTTGGGTTTCTGGCTGGTAGAGTTGGGTTTGTGGCTGGTAGAGTTGGGTTTCTGGTTGGTAGAGTTGGGTTTCTGGTGGGACTTGATGATCTTAAAGGTCTTTTCCAAGCAGAATGACCCGTTTTGTTCTGTCTCCCTGCCTGGATCTTCGGGCCCGGGATGGAGGGGGGTCCCGTGTGCAGGGTGGGCCAGGCTGGGGAAGCCCTGGGAACTGCAGCATCCCAGCCCCTGGCTCTGTGGCTCTCCTGGCTTCCCAGAGAACTTCCATCATGTCCCACTTTGGGAATCCTCTTCCCAGCCCTGGGCCCGGGTGCAGGTGCCTCATCCCAGGGAGGCCAGGGCCAGGGAGCCTGAGATTCCCCACTGGGCTCCATCCCTGCCCCAGCCTTGTTCCCGGGAATCCTGGCCTGGCTGGGAGGCCCTGACTTAATTCCCTGGAATCCTGGCCTGGCTGGGAGGCCGAGGAGGTGCAGCCAGGACCTGCTCTCAGGGGGTGCCTGGGGACCCCCTGCAGACCCCAGAGCCTCCCCCCACAGAGGGTGCCCCTCGGGGATCCCTCTCCCGCGGGAGGTGCTGATGGGGGGTCTGGGGGTGCAGGTCCCTGCTGGGGGTGCAGATCCCTCTCCAGCCCTCTGGTCACCTGGGGGGCCACAGGAGGGGATCCGGGGATCCCCCAGCTCCCCCAGCTCCGTGGTCCCCAGGGTGGGAGGGCTGCCTGTGCCCCCTCGGGTTCCCCGGGGTGGGAGGGCTGCCTGTGCCCCCTCCCCTTTCTCCTCCACGTGGACCAGATATTTTCAAGAGAAGAATCTTTCCGACGAGGTTTTCCAGCTGCCAGGAATGTGTGTCTAGGAATGCCCAGGGCCCATCCAAGAACAACTTCCAGACGTGAGGCTGAGTGACAGCAGCTCCTCCCCGTGGGCCTCCCGCCCCCCCTGGCCCGGGGGGGTGGGCGTGGGGGGGTGAGAGGCTCCTGGGCTGCTGCCACATCCCCAGGAAAATCCATCCGGGAGGAATTTGGTCCTTCCTTCCTGCTGTGGGGAAGGGGGAGAAGGGAATCCCCCCCCTGCTGGGATTGGGATGGGGAGGATGTGGATCCCAGTGCTGGGACTGGGATGAGGGGATGTGGATCCCAGTGCTGGGACTGGGATGAGGGGATGTGGATCCCAGTGCTGGGACTGGGATGAGGGGATGTGGATCCCAGTGCTGGGACTGGGATGAGGGGATATGGATCCCAGTGCTGGGATTGGGATGAGGGGATGTGGATCCCAGTGCTGGGACTGGGATGAGGGGATATGGATCCCAGTGCTGGGATTGGGATGAGGGGATGTGGATCCCAGTGCTGGGACTGGGATGAGGGGATGTGGATCCCAGTGCTGGGACTGGGATGAGGGGATGTGGATCCCAGTGCTGGGACTGGGATGGGGAGGATGTGGATCCCAGTGCTGGGATTGGGATGAGGGGATGTGGATCCCAGTGCTGGGACTGGGATGGGGAGGATGTGGATCCCAGTGCTGGGATTGGGATGAGGGGATGTGGATCCCAGTGCTGGGACTGGGATGGGGAGGATGTGGATCCCAGTGCTGGGATTGGGATGAGGGGATGTGGATCCCAGTGCTGGGACTGGGATGGGGGGATCATCCCTGGAGCCTCAGCTGAGCTCCTGCAGCATCTGGGCAAGGGCAGCAGCAGCTCCCTGGGATGGGGACGGGTCTTGATGTGGGTCTTGCCCGTGCAGGGGTGGGACTGGGTGGGCTTTCAGGTCCACTGGTCCCAAACCAGTGTGATGGGATCCTATGAAATCTGCTCTGTAGAGTATCCAGGAATGGAAGTTTGGTGAGTAAGGATGGGATGAAGGAATGGTGTAGAGTCTGGTGCATCATCTCTGTGATGGTCCTGCCCTGGCCCTGCTCAGTGGTGGGAGGGTCTGGGCTGGCCCTGGGGGCAGCTCTGCCTTCCCAGGCTCCAGGCACCTTTTCCATGGGAGGCTCCGTGTTGTTCCCAAGTGTTTATGGGGCCCAGATGGTGCTGGGGGGGGGGGTTGGTTTGAGGGTGACCCCTGACTGTGGGGTGTAGGGGGCACAGGTCACCTTCACACCTCTGTCCCTCTGTGGCTGTAACTGGGGAGGGGGTCTCTGCCTTCTGCAAGGCCAGGGGAGCTGGGAGAGGCTGGAGAACCTTCACTCCTGCCCAGTCCTGATGGTCCTGAGGGTCTTGGAGCTCTCCATGGCCTCCTGGAGCCATCCCTGGTGTCCTGGAACCATTCCTGGTATCCTGGAGCCATCCCTGGAGTCCTGGAGCCCTGCTTGGCATCCTGGAACCATCCCTGGTGTCCTGGAACCATCCCTGGAGCTATCCCTGGAGTTCTGGAGCCCTGCTTGGCATCCTGGAACCATTCCTGGTGTCCTGGAGCCCTGCTTGGCATCTTGGAACCATCCCTGGCATCCTGGAACCATCCCTGGTGTCCTGGAGCCATCCCTGGTGTCCTGGAGCCCTGCTTGGCATCCTGGAACCATCCCTGGTGTCCTGGAGCCATTCCTGGTGTCCTGGAGCCATCCCTGGTGTCCTGGAGCCATCCCTGGTGTCCTGGAGCCCTGCTTGGCATCCTGGAACCATCCCTGGCATCCTGGAACCTTCCCTGGTGTCCTGGAGCCATCCCTGGTGTCCTGGAGCCCTGCTTGGCATCCTGGAACCATCCCTGGTGTCCTGGAGCCATTCCTGGTGTCCTGGAGCCTTCCCCAGTGCCCAGATGAGCTCTCTGGGGCCTCTCCAAGCCCTGCACTGGGGCAGCAGATCCAGGCAACTGGAGTTAGTGGGAGCCCAGAGCCCCTCTGAGGAGCCAGTTCCTGCTCCCAACCTCCCCCTGCTCCTACCTGGGACTGGTGACCCTGTGCCAGCCCCAGTGGCCACCGAGCCCCTGGGAGGGATGAAGGCAGCAGAGCAGCAAATGTGAGGCAAGGACAAGGGGTGTGAAACCTTCCCTGCTGCAGAGGAGCTGCTGGCCTTCACCTTGGCATCTTCTCCCCCAGCGTGGGGTGGGACCTTCATGGTTGGGCTTGATGGTCTGAAAGGCCTTTCCCAATCAAAATGGAGTTGTTCTGCTGCTGTGGAGTCACCAGGAAACTTCTGCTGTTGTAGAATGACAAGGGAAGCTGTGGCTGCCCCATCCCTGGGGGTGTTGAAGGGCAGGTTGGATGGGGCTTGGAGCAGCCTGGGCTGCTGGGAGGTGTCCCTGCCCATGCAGGGGGGCACTGGGTGGGCTTTGAGGTCCCTCCAACACAAACCAGTCTGGGATGCTGTGAGGGGCTGCACGTCCCCTGAGGAAGCAGAGCTCCAGGCTGCCCACAGTCAGGCCGGGCACTGGGGTTGGAGGCCAAACCTTCTCTTCATCCCAGAAGACTTTCTCCCTCCCATCCCATCTCCAGCTCCCTCTGCCAGCTGGAAACCCTTCCCCCTGCTCCCATCCCTCCCTGCCCTTGTCCCAAGCCCCTCCCCAGCTTTCCTGGAGCCCCTTCAGGCCCTGGAAGCTGCTCTCAGGTCTCCCTGGAGCCTTCTCTTCTCCAGGCTGAACACCCCAACTCTCCCAGCCTGGCTCCATAGGACATCTCACAGCTTTTCTGTTCCCCCTCCTTTTGGACACCCTCCCCAGCCCTCCCCTCTCACCATGTCCCTCTGCTCCCCTCCAGGACATTCGCAACACGGTGGGGAACATCCCCATGGAGTGGTACCAGGACTTCCCACACATCGGGTACGACCTGGACGGCAAGAAGATCTACAAGCCCATCCGGAACAAGGACGAGCTGGACATGTTCCTGGAGAAGATGGAGAACCCTGACTACTGGTGAGCACGTGGCTGCCTGGAGTGCCACAGAGTCATGGACTTACGGAATGGGTTGGGGGGACCTCAAAGCCCACCCAGTGCCCCCCTGCATGGGCAGGGACACCTCCCAGCAGCCCAGGCTGCTCCAAGCCCCATCCAACCTGCCCTTCAACACCCCCAGGGATGGGGCAGCCACAGCTTCCCTGGGCAACCTATGCCAGGCTCTCCCCACCCTCACAGCCCAGAATTTCTCCCTCATGTCCAACCTCTACCTCTCCCTGCCAGTTCAAACCCTGTCCCCTGCCTCGTGGTCCCACAGGGGGGGTGTGTGTCCCCAACCACCCAGAGCCCGGAATATGGACCCACGTCTCCTGGTGTGACTCCTGGCTTGTGCCATCAGGAGCCCCAGGATTCCTGGAGGTGTGGCTTGTGCCAGCAGCAGGGTTGGAGGCTGCACCCCTGACCCTGTCCCCCTGGGCTCCCTGCAGGAGGACAGTCCAGGACAAGATGACGGGCGCGGACATCAAGCTGACGGACGAGCAGGTGGCCCTGGTGCAGCGGCTCCAGAAGGGGCAGTTTGGGGATGTTCACTTCAACCCGTATGAGGTAGGGTCGTGGCACACCCTGGGCTGGGCCAGGACAGGCAGGGACAGCTCATCTGCCACTGTCCCCTGGCTCTGTGTGTCCCCAGCCAGCCGTTGACTTCTTCAGCCACGAGGTGATGATCCACCCGGTGACCAATCGTCCGGCCGACAAGAGGAGCTTCATCCCTTCCCTCATCGAGAAGGAGAAGGTGAGAGGGCTGAGGGCACCTTGGGGGCACAGAGCCAGGCTCTGCTGGTGTCTGGGGTCGTTCTCCTGCCCAGGAGTCCCCCCTGTCCCTGCCATGGGCCACCCACCCCCACGATTGCTCCCACTGCAGCAGACCGTGCCCAGGTGCCAAGTCCTCCTCAGGGAGCTCTGCTTGGCAGCTTTTCCTTTCCATCCTCACGTCCCACACCTCCTCTTCCCCAAGCCTGAGGAGCCCTTCAGCTCCTGGGGTTGACCTCTGCTGGCCCCACAGGTCTCCAAGCTGGTCCATGCCATCAAGATGGGCTGGATCAAGCCTCGGAAGCCCAAGGATGACACGCCCACCTACTACGACCTGTGGGCCCACGAGGATCCCAACTCCATCCTGGGCCGCCACAAGATGCACGTCCCGGCCCCCAAGATGAAGCTGCCTGGGCATGAGGAGTCCTACAACCCCCCCCCCGAGTACCTGCTCAGCGAGGAGGAGGTGAGGGGGGGTCCTGAGAGGTCCTGAGACACAGGGAGGGGCTGGGAACACAGGGGGGGACTTCAGGAAGTGCTGGGACCCACCATGAGCTGGAGACCAGAAACCCTCGTGTCCTGGGCTGTGTCCCCAGCAGTGTGACCAGCAGGGCCAGGGGGGAATTGTCCCTCTGCTGAGCCCCCCTGCAGGGCTGGGACCAGCACCTGGGATGCTGGGAGGTGTCCCTGCCCATGCAGGGGGGCACTGGGTGGGCTTTAAGGTCCCTGCAACCCAACCCATTCCATGGAAATGAAAGCACAGGTTCCTCAGCCCCTGCACATGAACAGCAGGAGTTTGGGGCCACCCCTGGGCAGTGACCACAAGGTGCAGCCTCCAAGCTGAGCTCCTGGGGGTTCTCCTGGCACGGGGACCATCCTGGTGTCCAGAGGCACCATCAGCCCAGGGGCAAAGTCAGGCAGGAGAACCTGGCAGGGTGGGGAGGGCAGGGAAGTCCTGGCAGGGTAGGGAAGGGAAGTCCTGGCAGGGGAGGGCAGGGAAGTCCTGGAAAGGTGGGGAGGGCAGGGAAGTCCTGGCAAGGTGGGGAGGGCAGGGAAGTCCTGGAAAGGTGGGGAGGGCAGGGAAGTCCTGGCAGGGTGAGGAGGGCAGGGAAGTCCTGGCAGGGTGAGGAGGGCAGGGAAGTCCTGGCAGGGTGAGGAGGGCAGGGAAGTCCTGGCAGGGTGAGGAGGGCAGGGAAGTCCTGGCAGGGTGAGGAGGGCAGGGAAGTCCTGGCAGGGTGAGGAGGGCAGGGAAGTCCTGGCAGGGTGAGGAGGGCAGGGAAGTCCTGGCAGGGTGAGGAGGGCAGGGAAGTCCTGGCAGGGTGGGGAGGGCAGGGAAGTCCTGGCAGGGTGGGGAGGGCAGGGAAGTCCTGGCAGGGTGGTGAGGGCAGGGAAGTCCTGGCAAGGTGGGGAGGGAAGGGAAGGCCTGGGCGGCGGGGGGGGGAAGGGGGGAGT